TTTTTTTTTTTTTTTTTTTTTTTGAGAACGGGCGAAAATCCGTGCGCGCGCAGGATGTCATCCATAAAATTAAAAAAGTGTGGCCTAAGGTTTAAAAAAAATACAAAAAGGATTTCCGATTTTGCATCATTGCAATGTGCATGCACATTTTTTATTACCATGTCTAACGTATGCTTGTTAAAAGCATTCCCACAATGTTATCAAAACATGACTCAGTGTCAGTTATACATGCACTTAAACCCCCTTTACACTGGACGGCGTCCTTTCTGCGTCCTTTGTGCGATCGTGAAACTGCATGGCATCGCTGTAGTCGTAAAAATGAGGCACAAACATCGATTTGGCTGCAGAATGAATGCTTAGTGATCGGCCAGAGATAATAACGATAATAACCACACCAGGCACGCTTCAGATAGACTTTTATTTAAGGAGTTTTGTCGTCTTTAAGGTTTAGATGGGGAATTATGACATATACATTGTAGGGTAAATATACAAATGTGCTGTATTTTCAGATTCTCGCAGTATACCTTTGAAGCTAAGTAAACAAAGCATATAGGCACGAAATAGTTATCAAATACATCTCTGCTTTCTTTGATACTTTTTTATACAAAAATATATGGCTTGATCATGGTCATTCATTAAAATATTGATATCGAAGTACGTAGAAAGGAATGAAACACCGTCTCTGCTGCGAGAGCTTGCATGGGTTTGTATGTCATTCTTTTCGTGTTTCTGCCCGGCGTCTACGGTGCACTGGAAAACTGGTTTACCTGTCGAGAACTATACATGTCCAACTTATGACGACACTCTCTCCGGTTGATGACGTAAGAGGTATGGCACACGTAACAAAGTGGGCCTGTTTTGTTCCATATAAACATATTCCTGGCTAACTGCTCTACCTTTTGAGAAACATACTTGTGGCGACATCTATGTAAGCATCGCGCCAGGGCCCATGCTGTGGCGTCCTTGCCGTGGTACAGCTTCCACTGCAGCAGGCTTTGGAATGCTTGTTCCTTTTTACTCCGGGGAAATTCTTGGAGGATATCTTTAATTTTCTTCTCCATAAGCTTAGGCTTTACAAATTTAAGCTCTCGGGCCAAGAAGATCCAGTCCTCCGCCATGTCTCCGGAAACTTCATTGAAAAGACGCAGCAGAGCCGCCTCGTAGTGGTCGACCCGCACCATGTTTAGGCCTTCTGTTAGGAGGGCCACAGCGTTCTCCTGTTCGCACACCTGGGCTAGATACTCCGGCGTTTTCAAGGAAGCATCTTGAGCGGTTGTGTCAGCACCATACTCCAGGAGTAGTTTGATGACGTCCGTCTGACCAAATGTTGAAGCGCAGTGTAGTGGCGTCCAGCCGTCTTTCGAACGTATCTCGGCGTCGGCTGCGGCCAAAAGAAGATCGGACACGATGTCCCTGGCTCCGATCTGCGCCGCCGCGTGTAGAGGTGCCCAACCCATGGCGTCCTCTTGGCTGTTAACTGCTGCCTTGGCTTTCAACAGGGCACGCACCACAGCTCTGTGCCCCTTGTAGCACGCTTTGAGCAGACAACTCCAGCCGGCTCTGTCGGTGTTGTTTGCGTCTGCTCCAGCGTTCAGCAGCCGCTTTACCACTCTGTCGTGTCCATTCTGGGACGCCAACCACAGGGCAGAGAACCCCTCAGGACTCATAAGATGGACGTCCGCGCCCGCTGATAATAGTGCACACACGACGCCATGGTGACCGCCTGATGAAGCCGCGAATAGGCTGCTGACGCCATCACTGGTGACCATGTCGACGCTGGCACCTGCACGGATTAACTCCTCCACGATCTCTGTGTGACCGCCCTGTGACGCCAGGAACAGCGCGCCGCCGCCATATTTGTCCTGTCTGTCCACAGATGCTCCGTGCTGCAGCAGCAGTCTCACCGTGTCCCTGCGGTCGTTGTCTGCAGCCAGTATGAGTGCAGTGGCGTTGTCAGGACCTGCAAAATCAACGTCTGCCCCGCCTTGGACCAGCATAGCCGCCATGTCTGTCTCCCCCATACTGGCAGCTACCAGGAGAGGGGGACATGTCTCTTTGCTGTCCTGGCAGTTAACGTCTACGCGGTACGTTAGGAATAATTCTATGAATTCCTTGAGACCTGCTCTGACGGCCTCCAGCAGCGCCACTTGGCCGTGTCTTGTGGGTTTGCAGACGACAGTGGAGGCGTCCCAGTCCTCGGCGTTTTCCTCAGCCTGCGCCGCCAGGAGAAACTCAGCCTGCGCCAAGTCATTTTCTGCAATGGCGGCAACCAAGCCCTCTCGGGTCTTCTCATTTGTGTCCATGGCAAGGAAGAGTCCGTAGTTTTTTTAATAATGTGCCAAAAGTTGGTTTGGTTGTTGAAATTAAGGGCCCTTTAATGGTACGCCATCATAAAAAAAAAAATTAAAATACGAACATAGTTTCGTGCTCGACTTCGTCGTTTGGGATACCTTCCTAAAAAGCACGTGTCTATTTCGTTAACAAGGTAATGTCATTGAATTGAGTATAATTTCAGAAGTCTCCGTCTGTCCTACGGATACCTGTGTGTTAGATACAGCTAATAGAATACAGCAGGGAGCCGTCTGCTGGCCGGTGTCTTCAGTGGAGGGCTGTGATAACTAAAACCAACAGCCGTGCGTCCACACAGAGGGTACCTGATTGTGTTCAGTATTGATTCCCTATATATCGGCAACTGGCTGAGGGTCGGAGAGAATTTTATGATTTCATGTAATTGTATTGACGGTGTATTGATTCCCTATATCTTTGCAGTATTAGGTGGATGTGGGCCATGAAAAAAGTGGCGTGTTTCTGAACTAACTGCAGGGGTATGGTTGCCATCGACTGGTCCCACAGATTGGTCCCAGGGATAAAATATAACATGCGTTGCTGTACATTACAGATTTTCAAACTCTGCACTCTGTATTTAATGCCAAACGAGGCCGCTTTGTAATAAAGTAAAATAATTTTACTGTTTGGCTGTTATAAGGCGAGAGCAGCGAAAATAAATAATAAAAAATAGCAAAAGTTAGGCCTATATCGTGCTGAATTTCGAACTCCATCTGCCTTTTCATCAATCAAAGCTTAGCGAATTTAAATTTAAAGAAAATTTAAAGGGATAACAACTGTTCATTTTGGCCAAAAAATGAATTTTCCCATACTTACCAATGGTTAATGAATCCACTTCTACATTCAAAGATAGTCCCTAGTTTTTTTCTGAAAAGTTTGTTTCTTTGTTTTTCGTAATAATCTCTTAAGAGATTATTACAGAGTATAGCCATCTATCGAGGTCACATATGGTCTGATGACAAGCACAGATTTCAGATTAATTTCTATAACTGCCGTTTTTGTGGTAAAATAGACTATATTATAGGCCTATTTCTATGCGTTGTTTATAGTGTATTTATTGTGAAATATGGATCCCATACGAAGAGTTGTTATCCCTTTAAGTTCGTCAGATCAGGGAATTATATCGGACCCGATATAATTCCGAAATAATTTCCTGTTCAGATATCGGTGGAAAATATATATATACGAACTTTTTTTTATATATCATAGTGGGTTCCAGGCAAATATGCGTTTTATTATTAGTAGTATTATTACTATTTTTACCAAAGCCTCCAAGAACATTTACATGAAAAAAAAAAAAAAAAAAAAAAACGTCGCAAAATTATCATCATGTGTCAGGCCTGCTGCAGGTATCGACGATCAGGGTCCTCTATTTTCAGTCGATTGGATGAGCTCGTTATTCTACAGTTGTTCATTTGTTGCCAAGTCATTAAGGCTATCAATGTATGATGTTCTTTGTCTTCCTCTACTTCTTCTCCCCTCAATATTTTCCCACTGAGTACCAGCTCGTTTTTATTCCGGCTTTCATATGAGAAATAAAAATGCAATAACTGTAGGCCTACGCATACGTCGAAAATACTAGCTATAGGTACTGTCGGGTTGAGCTGATTTTGTAACTTGGTCGGCGTTTTAACCAAACCTTGAACATTATGTCCAAGACCAAACAAAATCCCCAAGCACTGACATAGACGCTAGCGCTGACATAGACGTTAGACAAACCACAGAACAAACACAATGATCAGAGTGTTTCTTAGAGTGACAGTAACAATGAAAATTATATGAACATAATTCAGATTGGGTAAATGAATTAAATGAAAAGTCACAGCTAATAATTTATCGTAAAATATAAAAATATTTTGTCGGCATTCACACAGAAATACTACCAAATGTGGCTTGTCTTGGCGTAAACCCGGAAACGAAAAAATCGCGGGAAGTGAAAGGTCAGAGGTGAAATATCTCTCTATCAAGATTAAAATGGCGGCCGACCAGCAGCAGTTTGAGGCTTTGCTGCAGAGCCTACTTAGTACAGAAAATAAAACACGATCGCAAGCAGAGGTGAGTTTTATCATGTATGTTACTTGAACTATCAGTCGTGTGAGTTAAAAGCACTTGTAGGTCTCTGAAGGCGACAAATGAAGTCTCGTGTGGAAGGCAGTCTCCCACGCTCACACGTGTGTGTGTGGGCTGTTCTCTGTAGATATGGTGCGTTGAAGTGAAGCGTAGTGTCGTAGTTGGATTTTGTGAAGGGTGTCCTTCTAACCATGTTCTGTACGTGGTATAAGTTATACAATACCGTAAATAAATATAATAATGGTCAGAGTTTTCTCAAATATTTCCGATATCTTTCACCCTGTATTGTGGTTTACCCGCTGTGAAGATCCACAGCTAGAGAGCAGGGCGAGCTAAAAGAAATATGTGAGTCAGCTGACTCAGCTCACGGGTTGAGGGATGCCTGTTGGAGAGCTGTGCAGTTTTAATACCAGCCACACACTGCCATATTTGTGTCTAATTATTATACCCAATACCTGCTCCAATACCAGCTTGGTCTTGACTGGCGAAAATTTTAAAGTTTTTTTCTGCTTTTTGGAAGGGGAGATGTAGTTGTCTGCTCTGTTATATTATCCATTAAACATGTTTTAATGGAATTATTTATCTGGAACAGGATATTGATATTCTAGTATTGTGGTCTTTTTGGGTTTGATTTCTAGCTCCTTCTGTTCCTTGCTTATATGTTGTACTGTAGTATGTTGATTTGACTGTCACTCATGATTTCTACCAAGGTCCTCAAATATAATAAAACAGGCCCAGGTGCAAAAATAAGAAAGAAGCATATTTGAAAGTCAGGCGTTTCTTTTCTAAGGAACTGATTGTGGGTATTTTGGGATGTCTTGATTTTTGGTTATTTTTCTGGACCCATTTATATCCCTGTGTAAAATATATACATTGTAAAAATTAGCATATCTTGTTGCTTATTGTGAGAGAAGACTTAAAAAATAGTCAGGTATTTTGTGTGTGGTGGAGGTGAGAGATATTTTCCATACTCTGTCCGGTATTTAAGATGTTTTATTGTTTCTCTTTTCCAGGAAGCCTATGAAGCAATCACCATACAGAGTAAACTGCCTCTGTTGTTGACAACAGTAAAGAATGGAAATACAGGTGTCGAGGTATGGAATGTGTGTGCGTGTGTGAGGTATGTGATGTTGGGAGGAAAACGAATATTGAGGGGGTATGTATGGTAGGAGTGCTTGAGAAAGTTGAGATAATAAACTACCAGTGCTTGTCAAGTGAATTATATGTGTAGGAATATCAGAGGACATGTATATGGCCCTGTACTGTGTTTTTATAAGCGCTGCATGTATCAATCTGTTACAGGTACGCACTATGGCGGCAGTGCTGCTACGTCGTTTGTTTACAACGTCATTTGAAGATTGGTGGCCTGCATTACCGGAGGACATTCGAGGTGTAATGAAAGAACAGCTCCTGTTGGCTATTCAAGGCGAGTCCATGCAGCCAGTCCGTAAGAAAATCTGTGATGCCGTGGCAGAGTTTTCTAGATGTCTAATAGGTATGTCTGACCAGGGCCCCGTATCTCGAAAGCATCGTGTATTTGCGAATCGTTATATCAAATAGAGGCTACAATGTATTATATGGGACGAGTATGGGCGAGTTATGGAATGGAGACGCTTGCGCACGTGTGCAACACAGTGAAACTTTCGAGATACGGGGCCCAAGGCTTCTATCACAGCTCTTTACATTGTGACATGATGGAACAACAAGACATGCCAGACATGTGCTGAATGGTTAAAGAAATAACTTTTTAAAGGGTTTGTCCATGTCTCAGTTTATATGCGCTCTGAAAAAACTGATACCAAATTTTATTACAGGACACTTAATACTTTTTTTCAGATGAAGAGGGTAACAACCAATGGCCGGAAGTCCTCAAGTTTATGTTTGACTGTGCCAGCTCTCCTGACCCTGGACTTAAAGAGGGTGCACTTCATATTTTCTGGTAAGTTTATGTTTGACTGTGCCAACTTCTCTAACCCAGATCTAAAAAGAGACTCATTAAGGACTTACAAAAATCTTTTATTGATTTCAGCGCTGTGCCTGGCATATTTGGTAACCAGCAATCACACTACATAGATGTCATCAAGCAGATGTTACACCAGTGTATACATGATCAGGGCAGTCGGGAGGTAAGTGTCTACATGGTCAGGGCAGTCAGGAGGTAAGTGTATACATGATCAGGGCAGTCGGGAGGTAAGTGTCTACATGGTCAGGGCAGTCGGGAGGTAAGTGTATACATGATCAGGGCAGTTAGGATGCAAGTATATATACAGCCATCTGACATGTATATTGTCTCTGTGTTCTTGATTTATCCATTTCTATAAATATTTTAAAAAATGATTTAACATCCAATGTTGCAACTGTTTCAGGTAAGGTATGAAGCTATCCGTGCAGCAACCTCATTTTTGATGTCCAATGAGAAGGAAGATCACTTGTTATCTCATTTCCGTGATCTACTGCCTGGAATTGTGGAGGTATGTCATAAGTCTTATTTAACACAGCCTCAACCAACACAATCACTGCTCTCAGTCTCAACTAACACAATCTCTGCTTTCATCCTCAGTCTACACAATCTCACATTAAACACGCTGTCACAGCTAACACACAATCAGGCCTTTCACACTATCATAGCTGACACACTGTCACACCTAACACACTGTCACATATAACAATATCACAGCTAACACAATATCTGCTTTCATTCTCAACCAACACAATCTCTGCACTGTTGTCACATTTAACACACTGTCACACCTAACACACTCGCAGCAAACACAATATCATTGTAAACTCCCACATTGGTGTTCCAGGGAGTGACCCAGAGCATACAACAAGGCACAGACGACAGCATTCTGAAGTGTTTGATAGACCTGGCGGAGAACACACCAAAATACCTGCGCAGTCAGCTGGAGACATTGTTTGGATTGTGTCTCAAGGTGAGTGGGTTATGGCACTGGTGTTACAGTGTTTTATGTCACATGTAAAATAATTGTTTTATTGCTTCATGTTTGTTATTTTATGTCTGACAGAATAGAGCACAAGTATACTATGAAAAAGGTCTCTAAATAGGATGATGAAATAGAATCATTCTTTATTAGATTATGCTTTGATCCATCTCCTATGAATCTTGGTCATGTGAACCTGAGGGCTTAAAATAGCTTCATGTTTTCTTAGCATTGAATTCCGACGGGAAATCACTGTTTGTGTTATGGAAGTTCATAGTTGGTGGACCAAACCTTCCATGTTTGTGAGGTTGCCTTTGACCTTAGGTTGTTCTGTGTCTATCAGGTGATATCTGATGCTAACATGGAGGACAACTGGAGACAGCTGGCACTAGAGGTCATTGTCACTCTGTCAGAGACGGCCCCCGCCATGGTCCGGAAATATGAGAAGTTTATTCCTTTGTTAGGTGAGTTATACAGCAGAAAGTTTTGTAAATGAAAGGATTGTACAGATAGTTGTGCTTTATTTTTATGGTTTAAAAGTTGCTTGAATTTTTTAATTCAAGCAACTTTTTTGACAGGAAACACCGATTTCTCACTTTTTAAAGCTCAGATGGTTAAAAGACTCCTGCTACTGAAATTAGCAATAAAAAGTCTTGTTTAATCAAGTAGCAGATATTAAGAGTAAGCTGTGGTTCTTCCAGTGCCTCAGGTGCTGGCTATGATGGTGGACCTGGAGGAAGAAGAAGATTGGGCCACGTCAGATGAGGTGGAAGAGGATGATAATGATAGGTAATAGATAATATGCCAACACACCATCACAGCCAACATACTGTACTGTTACAGCTAACACAATTTACTGTCACAGCCAACACACTGTACTGTTACAGCTAACACAATTTACTGTCACAGCCAACACACTGTACTGTTACAGCTAACACAATTTACTGTCACAGCCAACACACTGTACTGTCACAACTAACACACTGTACTGTCACAACTAACACAATTTACTGTCACAGCCAACACACTGTACTGTTACAGCTAACACACTGTACTGTCACAACTAACACACTGTACTGTCACAACTAACACACTGTACTATCACAGCTAACATTATTACACCTAGCAGATTGGTAAATATGACCCACAGCCACAACAAATATAAATTTCTCATACCTTTGATTATTGTAATCTTATAATGTAGCTCATGAAGTAATAATGACTTGTTCTACTCCAGTAATGCCATAGCTGGGGAGAGTGCCCTGGACAGGCTGGCATGTGGGCTGGGAGGAAAGACCATGCTGCCACACATCATAGCCAATGTACCACAGATGTTGAGCAGTCGTAAGTTACAGCATTAACACATACATTCTGTTGTTAATGATGACATTATAGAAGGTTGTAATTGGAATGATTGTTTCAAATTAGTCAGCTGCCATATTTTGTGAAAGGGTGCATTCCCATTGAACTATCTTGATTGGTCCAACTCCAGTATATGCAATCATGTTAACAGATTAACATGCCTTCTCTTGTTTATAATCACCAGGGAATTCTACTCGACGCCAGGAGGAGGCATGTTAATATGTTTATCTGATTGCATACAGCATGAGTCCCCGCAGAGTTGGATCAATATATGTAACTGATAGTTTCATTAAGAATGAGTCCTGAGGTTTCACTACCTGAGTACCATGATATTTTAGTATAACACTGTGTTCTATATCTTCCAGCTGACTGGCGTTACCGTCATGCAGCACTGATGGCTATTTCGGCCTGTGGGGAAGGTTGTCATAAACAGATGGAACAGATGCTGTCGAATATCCTAGAGGCTGTTCTGCCATACACACACGACCAGGTACGAGATTGGGTGTGAACATTCTAAGTAGGCAATACTGGCATGATTGGAAACAGATATTTTACACCTTGATAACACATATATGTTAATAGGACTCTCCTGTTACATTACTGTGATTTACTACAATGGCTCAGCCATTGGTTCCATTTCACAAATGAAAAAGAAAAAAAAAACTTTGAGAGCACAATTCTCTGCAAGGCAGCTCAATTATTTACAATATTCCACAATAGTGATTTCTTCGCAGCTTTCATCAGTTCTTGTGTAATAACAGTTTGTGTGATAGCCCTTGCTGTAAATTATAAGCAAGCACTCTTCACATGATTTGTAGAGTTAATATCATGTTGGTGTTCTGTTCCAGCACCCCCGGGTCAGGTACGCGGCCTGCAATGCCCTGGGTCAGCTGTCCACTGATTTTGGCCCCATGTTCCAGAAGAAATTCCATGCTAAGGTGAGTTTCAAATTTTCATTACCAGGTGGCAGCATTTAAGAAAAGCTGTAGCGAGACCTTCACTATGTTAGTAAGAGGACCATATGGGAAAGACGCTAATAGATAAATGAATAAGCAAAAAATGTCTGTTGAAAAGCCTGCAACTTGCTGCCATAAAGTGTTTTGCATTTCTGAGATATGTGGTCCACGTCTTACTTCAGGTAATACCTGGTATATTGATGGTGTTGGATGACACGGCACACCCCCGTGTACAGGCACACGCTGGCGCCGCCCTGGTGAATTTTAGTGAAGACTGCCCCAAGGGTATTTTAGTGCCATACCTGGATACCATCATGGGAAAGTTAGAGCAGGTTCTGAATGCCAAGTTTAAGGAAGTAAGTCCACATATATCTGAGAGCAGCTAGGTATATGTTGTGTATGTGTTTTTAACCTAGACATTTTGTGCATTAATGCTAATATTTGCTTACTTCAAAGTAAGTCTACTAGATTAAGATATTTGTCATGTCTAGATTTAGCATGGAAAATATTACAAAGCAGAGATTGGTGTGAAGATTTTAATTAAGCATAAGCTATGACACATTATTGTAGTTTTTACACTTGGTCATACAGATTGGGCAGCAGTCAGTAATGTGACCTTTTAAATACCATAAAAATAATCATTGTAAAGCTAATTGACTGAGACCAGTGAGCTGTGTTATGACATATTGGTTGCTATTTTCAGCTGGTGGAGAAGGGTCAGAAGCTGGTGCTGGAACAGGTTGTCACAACGCTGGCCTCAGTGGCTGACACTGCAGAGGAAAAGTTCATCAACTACTATGACAGGTTAGGGTTAGGAAGAATGCTTGGAAAGTTAACTGAAGCCAGCATTAATGCAACTGTTTTTTTTTATACAAAACAATAAAATCTTCAGCAAAATAGAATATATCCGTAAATTAGGTATTAAGGACAGTTGTAATGGTAACCGGCCTTGTTGCTTATTGGCAAAATGATATTGCTCACTGATTATAGCTGTGACAGTTTTCTAAATAGCAGATATTATGACAAGAGAATTGGTAGACAAAAATTGATGGTTGTGTCTGCAGGTTTATGCCATGTTTGAAGTACATCGTACAGAATGCCACCAGTGAGGAACTGAGGATGCTGAGAGGGAAGACCATAGAATGTATCAGTCTCATTGGTTTAGCTGTGGGGAAGGAAAAGGTATGATTTACATTGTATTACTATTAAGAAGGTGTGTGCATGGGGAAGTCTTTGTAAGAAAAATATATAGCAAAATCAAATCACCGTCTTGATGGCATAAATGAAGTGTTCACCTGTTTTCATGTTATATCAGTGCAAACTATTTAAAGATTGATTTCTTTGGCTGAATAAATTATAAAACTATTTAAAGATTGATTTCTTTGGCTGAATAAATTATCAGTTTTTTAACTACACAATTTTTTTTGGAAAAGTGTTTATGTGTTTTCATAATTGTGACATGTGTTGATAGTGATTGTCTAATAACTATTACTTCATCAATAGTTCTATTTTCAGTTTTAGTCACATTGGGTTGAAGTAAGACAGTTACAATCTTACACTGTATATACACTTCGTATCTGATGTGTTTATGTTCTATTACTGCCAAAAGAGATAATATTTTCTCTAAGAAACAGTCCTTGGCTTACATGTTGATAAAATTGAGCACTAGATCAGCTTATATGTTTCTGTATGTTGTAGTTCTACCCAGACTGTGGAGATGTGATGCAGCTGTTATTGAAAACACAGACAGACTCAGGAGACTTAGCAGATGATGACCCTCAGGTCAGTGAGGTCAAAGGTCAAGGTTAAGGCACCTGTCCTGGTTCACATACATAAATGGGTAAAAGATCATAGGAAAACCAGGATGTTTTTAAAAATGAATAATGCATAATACATTGTAATTTCTATAACACAGTCCTATAGCAATGTTTATGCTCCTGCTGTCATTCCAACAGAACTTCTTGCTTGACACCTGCCGAGACTTCAGATCACATTAATGATCACATCTCAGACATTCATCACAATCTCAACTGACACATTTTCTCCAACACAATCACAACTGACACGTTTATCAGTACAGCCTCACCTAACACATCATTGTTCTTCTCCAGATCTCCTACATGATCTCAGCCTGGGCCAGGATGTGTAAGATCCTAGGGAAGGAGTTTGAACAGTACTTGCCTATGGTGATGGGGCCAGTGCTGAAAGCAGCCAGCATCAAGCCTGAAGTGGCTCTAGTAGATAGTAAGTAACCCCATGTCACCCTATGTAACCCAGGGTGCAATGCTGGAATTTAGTCAAAAGAATGAGAGTTTTGTCTAATGAATGTGGCTATAAGTTGTACACAGTGTCTGTAGAGGAGATAACTTATGCTCCACTCCATAACTTCAGGTCAAGACATGCAGTCCATGGAGGGGGACAATGACTGGCAGTTTGTGACTCTAGGAGATCAGGTCAGTAGACAGCACAGGCCTTGAGTACACAACACAGGCCCAGCCTTGAGTACACAACACAGGCCCAACCTTGAGTACACAACACAGGCCCAGCCTTGAGTACACAACACAGGCCCAGCCTTGACTACACATCACAGGCCCAGCCTTGAGTACACAACACAGGCCCAACCTTGAGTACACAACACAGGCCCAACCTTGAGTACACAACACAGGCCCAGCCTTCAGTATGCATCACAGGCCTTAAGTACATATCACAGGTCATCAGAACACAACACAGGCCTTCAGAACACAATAAAGGCCCTCAGTACACAACACAGGCCTTCAGAACACAATAAAGGCCCTCAGTACACAACACAGGCCCAGCCTTCAGTATTCATCACATGCCTTCAGTACACAGCACAGGCCTTGAGTACACAACACAGGCCCAGCCTTGAGTACACAACACAGGCCCAGCCTTGAGTACACAACACAGGCCCAGCCTTCAGTATGCATCACAGGCCTTAAGTACATATCACAGGTCTTCAGTACACAACACAGGCCTTCAGAACACAATAAAGGCCCTCAGTACACAACACATGCCCAGCATTCAGAACACAATAAAGGCCCTCAGTACACAACACAGGCCCAGCATTCAGTACACATCACAGGCCCAGCATTCAGTACACAACACAGGCCCGGCTTTTAGTACACAACACAGAGCTTCATAACACAACACAGGCCCAGCCTTCAATACACAACACAATACGACTGACAGCATCCTTTATATGATTTCAGCAAAGTTTTGGTATCAAGACAGCAGGTCTGGAGGAGAAGGCAACAGCATGCCAGATGTTGGTGTGCTACGCCAGAGAGTTGAAAGAAGGATTCTCTGAATACACAGAACAAGTGGTGAAAATTATGGTGCCCCTGCTCAAATTTTATTTCCATGATGATATCCTTTTACATCAGTTACATCAGTAACTCAAACCATCTCTTATCTCATGTGCTTCCTTCTTCTGCCACTGCATTCTTAATGATCCAATAATATTTTTGAGATTAAGTAACCTCTGTTTCAGTTATTATTGGTGGTATGTGGTGTAATTATAATTCCATCTCTTTCTTAGTTTAATACAATTGGATGAATGAAAAAGTTCATGCACTGTCACTGGGTACAAACAATTCCAAGTACTTACACTTTGACATTAGGTACAAACAATTCCAAATAGCTCCAGTATGTGTATTATCCTTGACTGTACAGTACATTGTCGGATAGCTGCGGCGGAGAGTTTGCCGTTCCTGTTAGACTGCGCCAGGATCCGAGGAGACCAGTACTTGGCGGAGATGTGGCAGTATATCTGCCCGGAGCTGCTGAAAGCAGTGGAGATGGAACCAGAGAAAGATATTCTGGCAGAAGTGATGCATTCACTAGCTCAGGTATGGAATGCTGCTGAGGTTGAAGTTAGTGGAAGTTTCCATTCATGGCTTTTTAGCTCTCCTGAACTTCTGAGGTGTTAGATAATGATTTGTAAAGAATATATTTGGATACTTTTTTTAAAACATACTTCAATAATAAACTGCTACAAGAGCAAAGATGTTATATTTAGTTGCTTCAATTGAATAACCTAAGCAGTTGAATAAGTTGAATAACGTAATGTCTTCCTTTTGTTTCATTGTCTGTATATTGTTGTTTCTTTATAATAATCACCTAGCTGTAATATTTAGTGTATAGAAAAGCTTGGAAATGGTTGCCTCAATGACCACCAGATGTCAGAACTAGTCAGGATCCTGGACAAAACCATGAAGGACCACTTTGAAAGGCAGGCAGAGAGGCAAGGTATGCAGCTTGTCTTAGTATGCCAGACAGGTCTGAGGATGGTTTATTAAATAAATGTTACATAACTATGAGTTAAGTAATGTACAGAGATAGAAGATCATGTTGTTAGGCAGGCAGAGAGACCAGGTATGCAACTTGTCTTTGTATGATAGACAGAATATTCAATGAAATTAAAGGGATAATAACTCTTCGTATGAGATCTATATTTCACAATAAAAACATTGTGAATAACTCATAGAAATATAATATATTCTGTTTTACCACAAAAACGGCTATTATTCTGATATCTGAGCTTGTCTTTAGACCATGTGACCTCTATTGATGGCTATACTCTGTTAAAATCTCTTAAGAGATTTTAACAAAAAACCAAACTTTTTAGAAAAAAACCAGGGACTAACTTTGAATGTAAAAATGGATTCATTAACCATTGGTAAGTATGGAAAAATTGTTGTTTACTCCAGAAAAATTCATTTTTTGGCTGAAACGAAGAGTTATTATCCCTTTAATGTTACATAACTGTGTGAGATAGTTAAAAGATTTTATTCCATCTTGTAGCAGAATCTTAAATCCAGAAAAGCAGGAACAGTCATATCTCTTACTTTTCTTTTTTTTTTCCAGAGCAAAGAAAAGATGAAGATTATGATGATGTAGTGGAGGAATCATTATTAGACGAGGTATGTCTGGTATGTGAGGCAACTGGTGTGTATGAGGTATGTCATGAATGTGAGGCAAGTTGTGTGTATGAGGTATGTCATGTATGTGAGGCAACTGGTGTGTATGAGGTATGTCATGTATGTGAGGCAAGTGATGTGTATGAGGTATGTCATGTACATGAAGCAAGTGATGTGTTTGAGGTGTATAACAGGTATTATGAGTGCATACTGTGAACTGCAGGGCAGTGGCTCAATTAATCACAAGAACAGAAGTGCAGTTTTAATTTTTGCTACATAATAATGCTGAAGAGAAAACTGAAATTCAGGTTTACCAAATATATGCCACAAAGCTATTGTATCAGATAGATACATTGTCACTACTATTGTAACAAATAGATACATTGCCACTGCTATTGTAACAAAAAGATACATTGTCAGTACTATTCTAACAGATAGATACATTGGCACTTATGTCTCCAAAAGACAAAAGTTGCTACTAGTAAATGCATGTGCTGTTTAATATATATTTCATATTTCCCATTCTAGGATGACACAGATGTGTACGTCCTCACCAAGGTGTCCGACATTCTTCACGCGTTGTTTGGGACTCACAAGGAGGCCTTTTTACCCGTTTATGAGCAGCTTCTACCACATTTTGCTAAGTTATTGGTAAGTTGACCTATCATCTACCATCTATGTTAAAACAGATCAGTAGAGTGCTCCCTTTTGTAGTGGATTACTGTTTGGTGCTGCCACCTATAGAGTAAATGTATTGTGTCTCCCCCTAGGGACCAGCACAGCCGTGGCCAGATCGCCAGTGGGCGCTGTGTATATGGGATGATGTATTGGAACACACAGGTCCTCACTCTATCAAGTACCAGGAGTATTTCCTCAGCCTCATGCTGGAATATATCAATGACAAACAAGGTGAAGTTCGCCAGGCAGCATCTTATGGCATCGGCGTGATGGCACAACATGGCGGTAGTGGATATGCTCAGGCCTGTAGTGGTAAGAAAAAGATTCATCCTGGTACCCTTTACCTACTGTCTCGTCATTTGAGCAATTGATTTTATACTGGTATCCAGATAAAATTTTGATGTAAATTGTTTATATTTTACAATTCAGATCACATACGTAACATTCAGTAATATGCAATATAGTTATTTCATCGAAACACCCATGTCAATTGTATCATTCCTCAGGTAACTTGCATGACATTCTGTAATCTGCAATATCTGTTGTATTCATGTACCCATAACAATTGCATCTGCCCTCCTATCTTTGCAGAGGCTATCCCCCGACTGTTAAAAGTTATCCAGGACCCAGAGGCGCGGTCTGTAGATAATATCAGTCCCACAGAAAATGCAATTTCTGCAGTTACAAAAATATGCAAATATAACCCTGGTAACATTAACATAGACGAAATTATACCCCATTGGTTGTCATGGTTACCAGTCTGGGAGGATGAAGAAGAGGCTGTCCATGTTTATGGATATCTGTGTGATTTAATAGAAATGTAAGTAGTTTATTTGGAGCATGACAGAATGAGTAGAGAAATTGAAGACTTGAAGCCTAGACAAAAAACAGTTTATTGGCACCCATCTTTATTTGGATAATACAAATAGTTTTTGATTGTTTGAAGGGTGTTGAATTTTTCTTGTTGCTTAAGGTGGCCAATTTACAAACATGCAGAAAAAATTTCGATAAAATGTAGACTTTTCAGACGTTTCAGCTATTTTCCTAGTCCAAAAAAAGATCTTAAAAAACCTCAAGGAATTAAAAAAAAAAAATTCCTTACAATCAGCATGGTACTGACAGTGTTGGTTATACTGAGTGATGATTTCTTTCTCCTTAGGAACCATCCTTTAGTCCTTGGAGAAAACTCCCAGAATCTCCCCCGGTTACTGACTGTCATGGTGGAACCTTTTAGACGAGAAGCCATTGATAAAACAAGTGAGCTGGGCGTCAGAATGTTGAATATCCTGAGACAAGTACAGGTGAGGGTTGAAGTATCTAGAACATTTTAGGCGAGAAGCCATTGATAAAACAAGCGAACTGGGCATCAGAATGTTAAGCATCGTAAAACAAGTAAAGACCAGATTTGAAATATGGCACAACATAGCTTGTTGACTGAGGACATCGCTATATAGTCTTCACACACATGCATACACACGTGCACGTGAACGTACACACGAAGCAATGAATGCAACTTGGGATTCTATTAATGCCTTTGAAAATACTATGAAATGAATTAACTATGACATTGAACTCACTTTCTAAGGCAATTTTTTATGACGGCCTAATATATATATATATATATATATATATATATATCATTATTGTACCAAACATTCTAAAGTTGAAATCTTTGTATGTTGCAGACAAATGGTGACATATTCCAGGCCTGTGTGGGGCAGATGAGTCCAGAACAGCAAGCCACTCTCAGCCAACTTCTGGCTCAAAGCTAGGAATGTCCAGTTAGGGTCTGACCCCCGGTCAGGGATGGCTACCAGAACTTTGTGAAATAGATCAACATTATTTTTTACCTGGAAGCATCAGACCACAGTTTGACTTTTAGGAGCCTTCCTCCAGAGTTTTCAGGTATAAAACCCCATGAGAACAAGAGGCTGCATAAAAGAAAAAAGTGGAAATTTTGGGAACAGGAAAAATAGGCCACTTCATTCAACTTCCATTGAATTTTTATTTAAAAGTAATGGAACATTGGTTGCCAAATAGAAATTGACAAGTATTAAAATGGAGGGCATCAAGCTTTCTGACAAGGATCAGTCTGTGATGACTATTGTAGAAGGGATTTCAGCATATTTGTGGAGATTTGGAACTGCCAGTACAAAGGGTCTGTGTTGATATGAACTTGAATGGGACCCTGACTACAGAGATTAGATATAAAGCAACTGGTAAATTGTTATTTTAAAACTACAATGTTGCAGCTGTTCTGAGTTATGCGTATACACTAGCCCAATGACTTAATGTGAAAATAGGTCACAGTGACCCAATTCAGTGACCCAATTCAGTGACCCCATTTATCTATGTTGAACTGTTTTCACTGACTGAACATGGAGAGTTATGCAAAATGCAAAAGGGCCTTGAACCTGCAACGAGGCTTTTATTGGTAGAGATCGTTTCTTTTTAATATGCCTATAAGCTGTCTTTGAAATATGACGGAATTATTGCTTTGGCTTATTAAATGTTTTAAGTCACAAGAAGGTGTATTATTCTAGTTTACCAGGTGTTGAAGGTTTTGTGAGACTTATTCTTCAATATTGACAGATATGTGTATTCAGTATTACTATCACATAGACAATTTTATGTTGACATGTTTTCCATTTTTTACAGTAAAAGAACAGTTGTGAAAGAAAATGACTTTTTAACTTTTTTAGAAAAAAAAAAAGGTTTCTTAGTTACTGGCCGTGTAATTTGGTTTTCTGTTTTCTTGGGCTCTTCTTGAACAGCTAGTGGCTCCATCTAATGCTGACTGCACAGTTGGATTATTTGGAGAGGTCGTCATTTTGAGATCATCTGTACAGTATTCAAGTTCATGTATAAGAAGGTTTTGTGAATCACATGCATCTTGCTATTTTATGCATGCCCCTTTGTTAGTGTTTATCACTCTTAATGTTATTATTGGCAAATTTTTAATACAACACCTTTACAGTTCAGAGAGTTAACGTTTAACAGAAGATTTGATATATATTATTAAATTCATTGCTTCAGAGCATTTTATTAAGGTTGAATTATTGTTTAAATTTTCTAAAAAAATTGGAAATCTAGAAAAAATAGAAGCAGTGCTCTGTAACTTGTACCCATGTAGTTGAATTAAAGACAAGTATATTTATGATATGTCCTTCCTAGCAAAGGAAAGATATATTCGTCAAATTAAAAAAAATTATGAAAATGAAATATTGTGAACACTAAGTGCAAGGTGTTTTGGTTGTGCAGTAACAATTGGTACACCTTGAAGATAAGTAAGAAATAATGAAACCAGGATTATTTCAAATGTGAAGGGATGGGAAACAGATGAGAATAATTTGGGGGAGGGGGATGGGGGTGGAAGAGGAGGGGGGTGGTTGGGAAAGAAACGGTAGAGTCATTAAACCTTGGGGTTTGATGCCAAAGACAATTTAATGCTGTCAACAATGATGCTTTCTATAATACAAGAATATTAGACTTAGGCTTCCCCTTTAAGTGTGAAGGTATCACAAAGTAGCTTAAGTAAGTGAGAAAATATCCATAACTTATTGATTGGTGTACAAACAACTGAACCGCTTGAATTGCTTTGATCTTATTTACCAGTGAACAATTGAACTGTTCAGAGCTGTTGGCTTGCAAAGTGTGTACTTTATTCACTGGCCCCATGTGACAGAAATAAAATGTTTACTTTACTGAAAACCTGGTTGTATTTTTAACTGTCATGTAATCTAAGTTAATTGCCTATTGTAAGTGCAGCTTGTATTATTAACATGCGTACATGTAAATGGCCCTGGGGAGGGAGGAGTCTGTTGTCTTAAATGTTTCTATTTTCTTTTGAGGTAGGGAAAATAATAAATGAAATAAATAAAATGTAAAAATTAATAATTATAATAAAAATTTAAAAAAAAAATTAAGTGGTAATATATTGTTTATATATCCTTCATTCAAAGATATCATGATTTATTTAGCTCATGCGCGGTTAATGTTAATATGCACTTCTACCATTTTCACTCAGCTGTAAACTGAAATTAAGATTTTGAGGAAACTGAAAGTGGAAGGATTATACTTCTTAAAGGTGGAGGGGGGTCTTCTTGTCTACTTTGATTTTCTGCCAGCTGTTCTGCCCCTGCTGTGGTTCTTTAACTGTATAATAATTTAAATTTAAGCATTTGAATTGAAAGCAAATGTTTAAGCTGTGAGTCACTGTCTCCAAACCAGCGCGGAGCGGACTTTACCTGTGTTTACCTTGCCGCATAATCTGCGGCTTTAAATATAACAAGGTCAACTCTGTAGAATTGGAGGCTGTTATTTTTACTTTTCCTCCCCCAAAACGGAAGTCTGCTATTTGCATCATTTTTCTCTACGAGTAAAACTACAGAAAACTGCGATGTAATCATAAAAGCAGTTGCAATTTATCCTACCCAATGCCAGACAGCAATTGTATATTGAAACAGAAATGGATAGTAAAAGTAGTAATTATATTTCAAACCGAGGGAAGCAGCGCAACAACTAGCAGCCCACGCTTCCATCGAGTAGCAGCCAGTGTTCTCGTGGCCTATTTCACGTCCTTCTTTACGGATTAAAACATCGCAAGGCGGCCAAGAAACAACTAAGAAAGACAGACACTAGGTAGGTAATGCACTTTGTACACGTCCTGTCTAATTTCCATGTGCAGCGTCGTTTTGCGCGTTGGGAAGTGTGTGACGGGTTCGCGTTCCTGCGAGTGTGATCGATGAAGGATTGAGGGCTTGGCTGACTGGGCAGGCCGTGGCTACCTGGATGGAGCTGCCGCTGTTTTATTCCAACCACGAACGCTGTGCCCTACTTAATATCTGCTCCAACATGTCACGAAATTGGGCGGTGGTTTTTATTGCTGCCGATGGCTGAAAAATCAGCCCCGGCAATATGGCTTCTTGACCTTGTTTCTGCCTTGTGAGAGCTTTCAATTAGTCTGCATCTAATCAGTTTTAGATTTATGTCATAATACGTCAGTAGGGTTAACAGGGTACACCTTAATCTCTCAGCCTCTTCTCTGCCTTGGAACAATCACGTAGAAAGCCATTACCTTGAGGATATGAGGAATTGTTAATGTAGGGGAGCACGGCAGAGGGAGCTCGGCATCTTGATTCTTGTGCTGAGGCAGCTGTCAAAAGAACAAGGATTTAATGTTACAAATATTTAGACAGGGTTTCCAAGAAAAACTGGAGCTGATGTAGAACGATTTAATGAATCACATCTGCATGAAAAATTCTTCATGTAAAAAAGTGCATTGATATTGAGAAAAATGCTGGTTTGCTTCTCTGTGAAATAATTCATTTATTGAATAAAATTTTGTTGTTTCTTTTTTGCAGCATTATGTATACATTTCTTTATTTGTTAACATCAGGGCCTGCATGGTATCAACGTGACAAGTGAGAAAGTCACTACAGGTGTTTATTCTTTAAGTGTTGCTGTCCAAAAAAGTGAATTGAAGTCTATAGTGTCCTCTAGGTGGTTGTAGTCTATGGGCAACTCCATGCAGTAGATGTTTGATATTTGGTGAATAGAGTTTAATGTAAGCTTTTTTGAGATGCTCCATGCTTCAACAAAATGTTCCTGATGTTGTATTTCTAGTGTGATGTTTCCCCAAGATCTCACCTGTCTGTCTTAATGCAAATTGTTGTCATATTTATATTTATATTTATATAATATACGCACCTTTATATATAAAACAGGCAGTTGTCATGGTTAGAACATTTTTTAGTAAACTATGCCATGGCTCAGCTCTAGCATGTTTTATTCTTTGATCAGTGGAGCAGCAGATGTAATTGCTGAAACATCTCGTTTCTCTGGTTATTCTCCATGTGAACTTTAATATAAGGCTGTAAAAATTCAATGTACATTCTGAATGGCATAGATTTTTAGTGGATGTAGCAAACTTGTCTAAGTTACATCTCTCTCTTTCTTTCCCCCCTCTCTCTCTATCTGTGTGCGTGCGTGTGTGTGTGTGCGCGCACGCTGACCATTTCTCTGTCAAACCAAATAGTGCTATCAGTACAAAAAGGGCAAGGCTATTTTCTGCTGCCAACAAGCTGTTTTCCACCAGATATTAATGCTTCTTATGACTGGAATCAATATTTATTCTACACTATATTTGTTGTCACTGCTTGTATAGAAAGGTCTATATTAATAGCAAAGCACAGGTGATTTTTCTGTCTTGGGTTTCTGACATGTTGTCAAGGCAAAAAGCACTGGATTTGTTACATATTTATATAGTACTCTCCCTTGACTTCCTCTGGAAGGTCATTCATTTCTGTACTTATGCTTATTGCTTGAGGCACATGAGCAATTTATTTTTTCTTTTAAGATCTGTGATTTCCATATTTTAAGTTAATTTATCAGAAATGCATTTATGTCATAAAATGTTTTTCATTCCCAAAACTCCTTTGAGTTTTATTTCAAGACTTTTCATTTCTGTTGCATGTGTTGTTCATGAATCAAATGGAGAGGAAAGCTAATGATCACTGGAATTGTATGGCTTTTTAGTTGAAGACGTGCCAAGACTTTGCTGCTGCAGGGTTGAATATATATAAAAATGCTGCTATCCCTACTGTAGCTAGATACGATGTATTTCTGTTTGAGTATTACTGACCGAGTGGATATTTTCTGGAAACATGTAGAGTGGAAAAAACAGCTGTGGCTAAGGTGAGGGCTGCAGGAATGGAGGTGATGGACTTTGGAATTAATGAGCTGATGGAAATGTAAATAGTAAAGCACTTTCGTCTTTGCACTTCACATGATACAGGCAGTGTTAGTATATAAATATATCTTAGCCAGATCAGCAGCAGGTTACTATGATGTATTGGTAAGTACCTCATCCAAATCTGTTTACCATTCAATTACAGGTCTCAGTTTTAGTCAGGCTGAAAAACACCATGACCTGGAGATCCGCCCATAATAAAAAAAGAAATAATCTCCCAATTGGAAGTTACA